GGGAGTTGAAGTCCACCATCTTAAATGGCTGAGGTCACTATCTCCCATGCTGGCTGGGGAATTCTGGGAGTTGAAGTCCACCATCTTAAATGGCTGAGGTCACTATCTCCCATGCTGGCTGGGGAATTCTGGGAGTTGAAGTCCACCATCTTAAGTGACCGAAGTTGCTACTTCCCATGCTGGCTAGGGAATTCTGGGAGTTGAAGTCCACCCATCTTAAACTTGGTGAAGTTGCTACTTCCCATGCTGGCTGAGGAATTCTGGGAGTTGAAGTCCACCATCTTAAATGGCTGAGGTCACTATCTCCCATGCTGGCTGGGGAATTCTGGGAGTTGAAGTCCACCCATCTTAAACTTGGTGAAGTTGCTACTTCCCATGCTGGCTGAGGAATTCTGGGACTTGAAGTCCACCATCTTAAATGGCTGAGGTCACTATCTCCCATGCTGGCTGAGGAATTCTGGGAGTTGAAGTCCACCATCTTAAATGGCTGAGGTCACTATCTCCCATGCTGGCTTGGGAATTCTGGGAGTTGAAGTCCATCCATCTTAAAATGGCGAAGGTGGAAGAAACATCCCTTTAGGAGTTTCCTAAAATGGAAAAAAAAAAGAGATTCCCACAGAGCCTGTTTAGCAAGATTCCTTCAGATGAATGAGCAGGATCCAAGGAATTCCGACAATGGTGATTAATTACTACTTAGAAACCATATGAGTGTGTATTTTAGCTTACTTCATGCTTCCAACGAACTTGGCGTGGCCCGGCAAAGAGGCAGCTGTTTTATTGGATAGCAAAGAATTTTGCAGCTGGCTATTTACAGGCTAAGCGTATCCTTGTGGTTGTTAAGAGAATCACACGGTCATTAAGCGAATCCGGCTCGAACTTGGCTTGTGGGGACGTCACCCGTGGCAATCAGATGGTTTTGTTTAAAAATTTCAATGGGGGGCGCATATGTAGATACCTTTGTAAAGGTAAAGGAAGAAAAAAATGCAATTTGAAAAGCTTGGTTTTAGCATTTCTGTTTTTTTTTAAAAAAAAAACTCTGAACATGCTCAGAAATCCCTTAACAGCAGCTTCGTTTGAAATTGACTCTTCCTCGTCATGAACACGGTTGTTTCCTTGTTATACACACACACAAACATCATATCTCTGATGCTACCCCTTCGCTGGGAGTTTAGACATTCTACTTCCCCTCCCCACCTGAAAGGGACTCTGTTCCAACTGCCAGTTGCCTTATATTAACACGCTCTGATCAGTAATGGCATCCTATTATCTTCACTACTGGTTCGGTAGCGGGAGCATGCACAGAAGGTTGGTGATGACGTCTGGGTGGGTGGGCGGAACCTTGCACCGCCGTCACTACTGGTTTGCCCGAACTGGCAAATTGCCACCTCTGGCTCTGATGCTAAGGAGTTACATATTCCACTTCCCCTCCCCACCTGAAAGGAGCTCTGTTCCAACTGCCAGTTGCCTTATATTAACACCCTCTGATGCTACCCCTTCGCTAAACCAGACATGGGCGTGGCCAGCCCATGACTCATCTGGCCTTCTGGCTGGGAGTTTAGACATTCTACTCCCCCTCCCCACCTGAAAGGAGCACTGTTCCAACTGCCAGTTGCCTTACATTGACACCCTCTGATGCTAAGGAGTTACAAGCTTTACAAGTTTCAAGTTTTAAGTGTCAATTTATCAAGGCCGATCACTGGTAACCAGCGACTAGTATAATACATGTGGGTATATGCATAATTCTGTATTTATCTTTATTTCTTGTGTTATATTATGTAGTGTATATAAGTGGAGGTGGCAACCCTTTTGAGAGATGGATGCAATTAAATTTCACTTTAATGTATGCCAATTAGTGTACATTCAAAGTGACAATAAAATTATTATTCTAGTTTTCTGGGGATTCAGAAATCAGCTCCAGATGTAGAAAATCTAAAATGACCATTTTAGCAGAAATACAAGCAAATTTGAGGAAGGGGCTACCCTAATGCCGACTTAACGACCACCATTGAGCCCCCAAAACTTCCACCTCTAAGCAGGACAGTGGTTAAGGGAGGTTCACCTCATTTTACGACCTTTCTTGCTGCGGTTGTTAAGCGAATCGCTGCCGCTTTGAAGTTAGAAACTGTCGTTCAATGAATCTGGATTCCCCGTTGTCGAAAAGTCGCAAAAGGGTGACCGCGACCGTCGTAAACATGAGTCGTTTGCCAAGCGCTCTGAATTTGGACTCACTAGAACCTGGGGAGGCCGCCACGGTCATAAGTGTGGAAATAAATGGCCAATAAGTCACTTGGTTCTATCTGCCAGTGGGACTCCGAATGGTCAGTAAAGGAAACTGACATAAGTCGAGGACTGTCTGAATATGAAACAGGGAGCTGGGCAGCCGCTTTTGTCGTTTTCGAGAATTCTGGTTTGTTGGTTTGTTTCCTTAAATCCGGCCATTTTCCCAGCTGTGTGACCTGCCAACCTCTGCCCTCAACGACCACTGGCCTCAACACACCTTCCGTGTCCTCTGGGCCGAAGGACACGTGCAAAAGGAATGCGTCCTCTTCAAAGGTGACGTGACTGCACCCCTGTCCCATCCCGTCCCCCCTCCCAATTTTCCTGCATGTACGGACCCCTGACACTCCTCACCCCTTCCTCTCCTCCTCAGGCCACAAGGACTGCTGGAACCAAGATTCGGTGACGGACGAACAGGTGTTCCGGTAAGAGACGGGGTCAAAATCTCGGGATGGGGCCCCTGGGCTTTGTTCACACAACATCAGAGGAGGGTTGCTACCAGTTTGCACCCATTCGGCCGAACCAGTAGTGGAAATTGCGGCTCAGTCACTGAACCAGTACAGATGACAGGCTGGCCGCGCCCCTGAACCAATTTCCTGGTCGGCCATGCCGTTGCCAGCATGTTTTTTAGTCCTATTTTAATGTTCCACACATGCGCCGAACAATTTATAGGCCACTGCACACACATGCGCAGCGAACCGGCAGTAACCCACCCCTGCACAATATGTTAAACGAGGGAGAAGCGACTTGTGGGGGGGATCTCGGCAAAAGATGCAGGCCAGAGTTCATCGGGTGGAGCATCAAGGAAGGGAGGCGAATGGTGACGAAGGAAAATGGTTCGCCAGTTGGGCGTCTTGGTGGATATGGGCCCTTCCTTATTTTCCTAATCTATGGGGTGAAAAGTGCCTTGGCAAAGCACTCTCCAGAATGCTGGCTGGGGAATTCTGGGAGTTGAAGTCCATCCAATGCTGGCTAAGGAATTCTGGGAATTAAAGTCCAAATGCTGGCTGGGGAATTCTGGGAATTGAAGTCCAAATGTTGGATAGGGAATTCTGGGAGTTGAAGTCCACCCAATGCTGACTAATGAATTCTGGGAATTAAAGTCCAAAGGCTGGCTGGGGAATTCTGGGAATTGAAGTCCATCCAATGCTGGCTAAGGAATTCTGGGAATTAAAGTCCAAAGGCTGGATAGGGAATTCTGGGAGTTGAAGTCCACCGAATGCTCACTAGGGAATTCTGGGAGTTGAAGCTCAAATGCTGGCTAGGGAACTCTGGGAATTGAAGTCCAAATGCTGGATAGGGAATTCTGGGAGTTGAAGTCCATCCAATGCTGGCTGGGGGATTCTGGGAATTGAAGTCCATCCAATGCTGGCTAGGGAATTCTGGGAATTGAAGTCCATCCAATGCTGGCTGGGGAATTCTGGGAATTGAAGTCCAAATGCTGGCTGGGGAATTCTGGGAATTGAAGTCCATCCAATGCTGGCTGGGGAATTCTGGGAATTGAAGTCCATCCAGGCTAGGGAATTCTGGGAATTGAAGTCCATCCAATGCTGGCTGGGGAATTCTGGGAATTGAAGTCCAAATGCTGGCTAGGGAATTCTGGGAATTGAAGTCCATCCAATGCTGGCTGGGGAATTCTGGGAATTGAAGTCCAAATGCTGGCTGGGAAATTCTGGGAATTGAAGTCCATCCAATGCTGGCTGGGGAATTCTGGGAATTGAAGTCCA